ATGTATCTGTCAGAAATAATTTGTTGTCGACAGACTTATTGCCTTCAAGGGATTTGAATGCCCTTTTGGGGAGCCAGTGTCTTATGTTATTGGCTAATCCTGTATTTTGTTTGGGGCAGAGGAACTGAAAGCTTAAAAAAAATGCGAGAGAGTCTGTCCCTGAATATTCAGCTGCAGAAATTTCTTCTCTTTTATGGAGTCCGTTTGTGCGTACATGGCAACTTAAGGCTACGTAACCCAGAGATAGGCTAAAAATATGTAATTCTTCTCCCCTGTAAATAAAGAGGAGCATGTCTTTGTGTCTCAAGTCAAAATCAGTGTTTGGTTTAGTTCAAAACATAACTTGGACATTCACATCCGTATGAGCTCCAGTTTTTCTCCTGAGTTCATGAATTGCCTAGACTGTATTTATAAATTGCAAGGAAACTTGACAAAGCTGTTAGTAGTTTAGAGTTCAGTTAAATTGTGTGTGGTTTTGAAACTTGGGAGTTTCAAATAATATTTTTCACAGCTCCACTGATGAGGCATTTCATTAGCATTGGAGCCTACACTGGCTGAGAAAATAACCTTTTACTACAGGTTCTTTGCGTGCATTTAATCTCCTTTCACTTTTATTTTTTCCGTCTGATGGAATGTATCCCTGTCTTTCTCCCATCACTGTTGTTTTCCAAGAATTATTCTGTCACATGACACAGCATCTTTTACTTCTCCACAAAGACCTACCAGCTCAAAAAGAACCTGTATTTTAGAGTTTAAAAAATTATAATTACTGTGTAGAAAAATTACACAGAAAATCCTATCTAATGCTAGATTTCTAAACCTCTTAAAACTGTTCTATCCCATGACTGTGGGTTTGCTGGTGACAAATGTTTTATGGGCATACTTTAGTAGACACCCGTCTAAAATCTGTTCTTAATAGTCAGATCTTAAATTGGAACCAGAGGGGCAGAAAAACCAGATTTGAAACGTGTTTCTAAGGGTTTGTTTTTACTTTCAGTTGAGACTGCCTTCTCTCATCTTTTGTACTGCTGTCAAAAGGGCCACTCTCATGGTTGTTCAAACTCCATGCTTCTTGACAGGAACAGTTGGACCCCTCTTCAATGATTTTCAGATGAAACGGCTTCCAAACCTCCAGAGCTTTAACTTGTAGTTATTAGGCCCTTTGAAATAGCAACACATTAATCAGCTGAAATCAAGTGGTCCTTTCTCCAAGGCTGTGATAATGCTGTTCTCTTCTAGGTAGAACTCTAGTCTAAATATTAGTTTCAAGAGCTCTTTTTTCTTTTTTTTTTTTCCTCTAGATATGTCTATGCCATTTCTGTTTCTAGCTTGATCATTGTTTTATAATGCTGTGAATTGAATTGCTCATTTCTATAATAGGCTTTTATACTCTCAAATTGCATCAAAAGAAGTAATGCAGAAAGCTAGCTTCCACTTGTTTGGCGCTTATTTTAGGAATTGGCTACTGTCCTTTTACTTCTCTCATGCACAGTATGAAGCCCTGCAGAAAAGGTATCAATGATGTAATGGATTACATCTGGCAGAACTTGGTCTAACAATGATGTGAAAGGTTGAAAAAAGTATGGTTTGTTAAAACTGGATCATTTGAAACAGGGGCTTGGTTTCTGTCCCTGCCTTCTGTGATATTGAGCAAGTGATCTGAACGTGTTAATGACTTCCCTTACCAGTCTATGTATGAGGCAAAAGACAGACTAGGGATTACAAGAAATCAAAAAGATATCGTTCTGTGCAATAGTCATTATATACAGCAGCAGCTGAACCATTCTCGAGTTTTGGCAAAAGGCATTGCTAAGAAAATAATTTAGGGAGGATAATGCAGCAGCTTCTCCCAGGCATCAGGTGGGGAGAAAATAAAAACATGCATGATGGAGAACCTTGTAATTTGAGGAGCGGGTGTCTATATCACAGGGCTGCTGATGCTGTAGTCAGTGTCAGGGAGCTGCATGAGAGTTGATAAAATAGGACATGGGCCTGTTTGGGAACTGCTTTGAAAACTGATGCTGCAGAACTACTCAAAAGGCTGTTAGAATGCAGACGTATTTCTATTTGCTTTATAAACACCCTCTGAACTTTTATTATGTACTGTATGTTCACAGCAATCATTTCCCATACCTCCAAGGCTAAATAATTTCTGAATAGCTAAATCAATTTGTCTTGTGTCTGTGTTGTGTCACAGTAATGAAAGTTCCCTCTACTGCAGCGGTAGCAGTAAAACTACTCTTAAGGAGATGTGGGAGCTCTATCAAAGCATCGCTGTCTGAGTTATAACTCAGCAAATGATTAACCAGTCAGCATTAGAAAGGAAGCGACAGTATGCCTCAGCTATCAATTGAGACTACAGTGAGATTTTTGTAATTAAGTTTTATTTAAGGTCTGAAACTTAATAATACACAAAATGTACTGTTGGATCTAAAATCACCAAGGTCTTGATTTTGTATCTTGCCTAAATGACCTGTGATTGCAAGGTTGTATTATACTTGCAACTGAGCAGAATGATGTTCATATAGGATGGTGACAGATGCACTAAAATTGGTTCAAGTCCTGCAATTGAATGAATGAAGAGAGGTTCTTCAAGAGCTTCATTGACTCCTGTAGGACTTTGCCTAGCTGACTGCTGGTGGAGTCTTTTTGCTGTAAGAGAAGACTGAGTTTGCTAATACCCCAGGGAGGTGATGTAAATGCAACCTCCTCCAACTGGCTGAGGCAAATGTTTTGAATTAATACCTGGCAATATGAATTTGCATGGAGTTTACATAAGGATCAGATGTATATTTATATGTGTGTGTCTATTTTTATCTGTCTATATATATACCTGAGATAGATATCTGTATAGATATATACAATAACAGGTCCTTGTTCTTTAGAGTGACATTTGAGGTAGGACAGGAGCTGGTATCACCTTCAGTTTGTCTTACAAAGCAAGTAGAGGTTCATCCAAGGGAGTTGGAATAGCTTCAGAGGAACTTGTTTGGGTTAGAACTTTTCATTTATGGAAGACACTTTAGCTTGGAGTATCACAGGTTTTGAAGTTTTTATTAACTAAAGCCATGCAAGATTCCTGTAAGACAGATCAAGTACTGTGCCTTCTTGGCCAGGATTCTTGTGTTTCTCTTGCCTTGCTTACATATGAAATGTGGCTGTTGGAATAATTATTACTTCTAATTTTTTAGTATGTTGAAATGCAGGATCAAAAAGAAAAAAAAAATCAAAACAGATTCCATTTCTATGGTCCTATGCTGCAAATCAATAGTATGGGAATATATTGTTTGGATGTCAGCCCATTTTATAAATGAATATATCTCAAAGATTGTTTTACTGGCCTACAAATGCCAAGAACAGGATGGCAGTCTAATTCCTTGCATAGCAACAGCTAACATAAAATCAGGTTCACTCTAGAAAATGCAACTGCTGTTTGGGCAGGGTTATGGACACAGTCGTTGTTTCTTGGTTTACGTTTGGCCCCTGGTAGATATTAACTGGCCATTTGTCTGACGTTAGACAAGTCTTTTTGTTTAAAAGTTACAACAGCTGCTGTTTTGTAGGGGTATAAATTCTCATCCCGCTGAATGCAGTGGGAAGTGCTTCTTTGGTACAGTATGGTTAGACTTTCAGGTCCATAACATAAAATACATTGCCATAAATATCCCATTCTGCAAATGGCAGTGTTGCCTTTATATGTCCTGTCTGACGGGCCAAGGATGAAGGGAGGTAGAGATTTAGCTTTCTGATCACCCATAGACTTTTTCCTTCGTTGTAGTTTGAGATACATTAACTGGATCAGACTCTTTTTCGCCTGACTGTATTATTCTAAAAATGTGATTTTTGTTTCCGATCGTTCCAGGTTCCTTTGGGGGAAGAAAAATCAGATAAATGTGTTTGTGCCTTGTCTTTAAAGGAAATTGTTTAAAATAGCTTCAAGTTACTACCAGCATTAGGCAATTCTTCTGGAAACACTATGTATGAGTAGAAAAGGAAATGGGATCACAACATGCATTTTATGGCAGTTCTGGATTCAGTTTATTAACTTTGCATTGCCAACCACTCCAAGTTTGGAGTCCATTCAGGTATTGTTGGTACTTGTAAGATAGGATTGCAGTTTGGCTGGGTATCATTTTTTTTTTAAAGATCCTAAGTTCTTTTTAAATCCCCATCACGTTAGCTACATGTTTTGCTGATCCAATTTGCAGAACAGAACTTCAAAATTTGGCTTCTGGTTTTGCTATTAGTGGATTTTGTCAGATAGGACTCAAAGAGCACACACAAACTCATACTGTTTCTGGGCAGAGAGACTCCAAGCAACCAGTGAAATCAGAATATGCTGTGCTGAAAAATGGCTGTGCTGAAAAATGGCAAGGGTATGGGAATGGAGAGTATGCTTACTGGATCCCTTTCCAAAATAGTGCATGGCATGCAACCTAGAGCCTTGCTTTCTGGAATGTGATGGTCCTTTCTCTGTGCTGCTATGCCAAGAACATAGGTGGATTAATGGTGAAGATGCATTTGCTGATCATCCCCTGTGAAGTGATGAGGGAGCTGGATGGCTCCTATTGTGCAAGAGGAAAAAAACCTCTCCTCTAGCCTGTGAAAGACCCCCTGGCAATTAGGATTTGATGAAGTGGAGCAGGTTTACCTCTATAAGTGGGTCTGTTATGCACTAGCACTAAGGACAAAAGCTTTTCAGGCTTGAGGGGGTCCCAGGAAGGAGTGAATAAAGCCTTCAGACTAACCTTATGTTCATGGCCTTGTACTTCACCAGATACAGGGGAGGAGAAACTAACAAATGGCAGCCTAATGGATTCAAACAGAATAGAAAGAGCACATTTTGCGAGTGGATTTTCTTTGCCAAAATAAGAATATGAATGAGGTTAACAGAGATTCAAGGATGACTGTACATAGGGATAATGACTGAATGGCTTTTTTATATGCCTTTCTCTTTAAACACTTGTATGTATTCCCTTCTGCTGCTTTATTTCTTCCAGATATTTGTGGTCACCGTATGGAGCGTGGAACTGTACATGGTGCCCCTGGCTCTGCTGGTGCTCTTTGCATACAACTTCTCCCTCATCAGAACAGGGAAGGTCAACAACACCCAAGATGCCCAGGCAAGTAAAGAGGCAGTAACATTCCTGACAGCCCCCAGCTTGAATTTGCCCTTGAGCAAAATGTCATGCATTTAAGCTAGTTGTGTAGCTAAACAGCATTTTTATTTCGAAGTTACTGAAAAGAAACCTCAACCCTCTCAATTTTCATGAGTCAATTCAGGCAATAAACCATTAAGAGTAGTAGGAGAAAATTACAAGAGTGGGTAGGAGGGGTATTTCGCTTACTAAATAACTACAAACGTTTTTAACTAAGTTGAATTAAGAAAGACCTACAAAGCAACAAGTTCCTAAAACCCGTGCCCCTACTGCTCTTACACTTTGCATCACACTGATGATTCATGATTCACAGAGGAGGAAAATCAGTAGAAGCCGAAAGAGAAGTTAGTTGGTTTTAAACCTTGTCCTGTGATCTGAGACTTTAAGAAGCCCTTATTCCTCCTCCCCACCCCCCACTTTTAAATGACAAATGCTTTTTTTTTTTCCCCTAGATATTTTCCCTTCAGTTTTTTAACTTGATCTGGGAGAAAAAAAGATTTAAATACAAAAATAATTACAATATGTGTGGCAAAGGTCTACTGTTGGGGTATGAAATGCTGTTTGATGTTGACCACTGTTTTTACTTACATAACAATGGTAATTACAGTTACAAATGAGAGTAAATTCATGGATGTCCATAATATTCTGTTTTTAAATTTGTGATAAGTACAGTAATGAAATATAGGCTGAATTATAGCTTCATTCTAACTTTTGATAAAAAGATGATTGATGTTTGTACCCATGAAGAATACCTTTACCCAAATGAATCAAGTAGATTTTATACAAAGGAATAATATCCTAGAATTAAAAAGGTCAATAGCTGGTTTATTAGTTTTAGTGAGAAAAGTTGCTCCTAGTTCAGTTTTCATCCATTCCTAAGTGGAAAGATCGTTAGAAAATAGGGAAAATTGCATTATCCAGACCAGGACATAGACTTGATTTGAAAACAAATGGCAAAAGAAATGCTTTTCTCCAATTTCAGCCAAGTCCAGAATAACATAGAAAGATGTTGTGTGTCTTCAGTGACAACTTTATGTCATCAGGAAAATGAGAACTTCCCATGTGGGAGAATCACAGGCAAATGGGTGTTTTTGGTTTTAATACAAAAGACAATATAAAATAATAACAACTTACCCAGGAGAAAATACACAGAGAATACCTTCCAGCACCCATCACTCAGCCTGTGGTGAGTTTGTTCCATGTTCAAGTGAGGAGAGTCTCACATAAGTCAGCAGAATTGAGCAGTACGTCATTTAGGTGGATACTACAAAAAGGCTATATCTGAAAATACAGGTTAATTGTAGTAATACTGAAGAAAGGTCCATCAGAAAGTTAGCCCTTTTCCTGTTACACATCCTGTGAGCAATGCGATGCCGTGAAATTCAGGGGTGCATTTTGCTTAAGCAAAGTTACACATCTATCCAAGTGCTTTGCAGGATTGGGATCATATGGAACAAGTAGTCAAAGTGCCTTTAATATTACCTGATTACTTTTTTATGTGTGTCTATGATTCTAACCATCTGTAGGTCAAAAATAGACAATCAGGTGCTACCCCTAGTCACATCTGTCCTGCAGATGAGAAAAGGTTTTCTTCAAAATACCGATGCTTTTTACAGTCATTTATTTTTCGCTTCTTCAGACCTTGGCTGCATGTGCATTACCTTTGGGTTTTGTGTGCCAGCATGCACATTTCACGTATATAGAGGAACGAGAGCAACAGTCTTTGCAAAAGTGGACCTCAAATTCTCTATGATTTCTGTGCTATAAAATGGGAATAACAGTATTAACATTGTATGCATGATCCAGTTGTCAGGAGGCTAAATTTGTGAATATTGGTAAAATGGTTTACGATTTAAAGATGGGGAGCTTCTATAGAAATGTAAACTATTATCAGTGTTAATTCAGCTTCTCAGGGTATTCCAGAGTGCCAAAGAGTAAATCTGGGTATCTGAGCTCTCAGTATCTTCTGCATACTAGGTGCAACTGCTTTTCGGGGCGGGGGAACCAAACCAAAAAAACCAAACTCCCTAAAACTTCCAAATCCAAAACATCTTTTATTGTGATTCTTCACACTCTTTGTGTGTTTGCTGTATTTAAACTTGTAGTACACAGATTCAAATGTACCTATTAAATAAGCAAGAAAAACTCCGAGGACCCTGGTAAAGGCTTAGCTTATTAAATACCTGAATTGAAAGCCAAGTGCTCCTAATTTCAAGGCTTAGCCAGGTCTTTTGTTTTCTCCCCTACCTGTCAGCATAGAAGTTAAACAGAAGAAATAATGCTGCATAGAAATCTGACTGTGATTCGTGAGATTTGATTATGTTCATACTAATGTATTTTCTAAAGTCTAATGTTTCAGTAATGGCCCTAAAGGGAAGGAGCAGTCATTGTAGCAGTGAGGATGGAACAAGTTGAGTATAGAGTCCACAGCCTTGACATAGCGGCTGGTTCATTTGTCAAACTAAGAACAAAGCTGTTTACAGACAATCAAAGTTGGCAATGAATTTGAAAGCCTGTTGCCTTCAAACTACTGGACAGAGCCACTAATGCTTTATTTAGACTTAAAATTTGTATAGGGTATTGCATGCTTTGTTTAGGATATCACAAAAAAAAAAAAAAAAAAAAGTCGTCCTTGAATACAAAATGTTATTTCTGAAAGGTGAAAGTGGTGGGTTTTTTTGATGAGTTGCAATAGAAGTGGGAGAAAACTGTGTAATGAAATGTTGTGGGAGTATCATAAGCTTTTTGAACATTGCCTGTCACTGAAAAATAAGTGTAATGTTTTGTAATATGGACATCTGCTTTTTCAGGAGCTTATGGGCTTGGATGAAGATGAGGATGAAGATGATAAGGTAAGCATACCTCACGATTGTATCAGCCAGAATCAGAAAGAACATGGGAAAGCACAAACCCACCATCCTATCTCCATGAGATCTTTTTTTATTATCTGTATTAACTGGGAAAACAATTGTTACCAGTTTGCTGTTTGGCAAATTTGAAAGTATGAAAAGATTGGTTTGTATAACATCCAACAGTGGTGTTACCTATGCGGGACCTCTGAACATTAATGGAATCTGAGCAGTCCCCAGTTTGTACTTGAAATCATAACAGGCACATGTTCATGTATGTACACTTATAGGTATGTGTATGGGTGGACCAGGTGCAAAGAAATGCACGAGTATGTAAAATCCATAAAAATCACTTCCATTTTGAGTGGAATTTTGTACTAATGGCTTTCCCCAAATGATCTGGCATTTCCATTTCTGTAGGCCAGAATTGGTGTGATTTGTGGGGAACTGGTTAGAATTTTCTCAACATTTCTTTCAGAGCCTGGGAAAAAATGGTTTTAGTTCATCAGCTGAAATGTAGAAAGAATTGGAATTGTCAAGGCCTGTTTCTTATTTTATTGGAGCGTACTTACTCATTCTTCTCACTATGAAAAATTCATTGGATTTTTTTTCAAGTTTATCAAACCACAGTGACAAAGGATAAAAGGATTAGAGGGCATGACATATGAAGAAAGATTAAGAGAACTTAATGTATACAGCTAGAAAAAACATAAGTAAGTGAAGGAGGATCTGATAATCTATAAATACTTTAAAGCTAAAAGGTGAAAAATTATTTAACGAGCAACAGCATGCAAAGGAACATTAGCTGTTAGGAAGAAAATGTTCACAAGATGACATGAAAATGTCAAATTGCATACTAAGTTAATAAGACTCTTATTGAATATTCTATGTTTTAAGAATGTTACAATGAAATTGTTGATCATTGAGAAGTAAATCAATACCACAGTTAGAAAGTGCACCTTAACTCTTCTCAGTCACAGACACTAGAATTGAAGCTCAGCAGACTAACTGATGGGAATAGTTAAATTTAAATTTAACCTGCTCTTCTGTGGTGGTTATATTTTATTGAGCAACTAGAAATCTGTCAAAGTTATAAAGTGAACTTTAGACAATCTAGTTGAATTACAGGTTTCTTGCAAAGCACAATAAATGTTTAAATGTTCTCATTTATAATTCACTCCTTACGTCGTAAAGTTGGTCAACTAAATGGACCAATATCTGGAATTCATCAGAAGTCGCTAAATGAAAGTTGCGTCTTTTTCAAAGGAATACTGTGTATCTCTAAAAGTCAATAATTTCTATTTTGTGGGTACCCAAAACTAGACAACTCTAAATGTTGGCCCTGCCAAGTTCACAGGTTCAATCCCTGCTTACTGCGGGGGGGTTGGGCTCGATAATCTCTCAAGGTCCCTTCCAACCCAAAAGCATTCTATGATTCTATGATTCTACATCTTATTTGTGGGATGCCTAAAGGTGTAAATTATTTGCTGGAGCCAATCCCATTTACTTTTTTCTTTTTAAATATTCTTCTTTTTTAATATTCCTTTTTTTCGTTTGTAAGTGCTGAGATGGAAAAAAAAAAAGTAAAAATGTATTCAATGGGTATTTAATCCTCTGTTTCCTGTGCTGTTCAACAGTTTCATTGCTGCAAAGCCAAAATTTACCAGGTTACATTTACCCTAGATTTAACTCCAGTGACTTTGGTTCTCTCTATAAATACAACTGGGCCACTTAAATATGGATCTAATCACTTTGCATTTTTGCTTCCCCCCGCTAAACAACTTCACTGTAATTCTCTTTCTTGGTTTCTTTTAACTTAAGTATGCAGGTTTGGGAAAACTACTGGGAGTCAGTGTTGAGCTGCTGGTGATTTGGCCTTACCATTCTGTAATCAGCATTGCCTCTGTCTCCATTTCATGCATGCAAACAGTGACTCTTTGAAATGGAGAACTTGTAGCACTGGCTAAAGCTGCTCACGGTAGACACCTCCAGCAGGCTTTCTCATCAAGACAACGCTTCATATCCCAATATTACAGCAATAATCATTCATAACTTGTATTAATTGATATACTAGCGTTATGGGTCTATGGAATTCTGACACAGAATTACCAGGAGAGAGAATCACCAGTCACTACATGTGTCCCATGTCAAGTGCTATGCAGCATTGCCTTAATGTCTTCATTCCGTCCTGGGTATATCCCCTTTGCATCAGTGATGGACCATGCTTGCATGCCGATGACACACATCTTTAAGTACATTAGGTTATTCTAAGTGACTTTTCCAAGTCTGAGGGTGGCCAATGCTCCCTTGGGAGTGTAAGAAAAATGTAATTTTATGACATTATCTTGTGGCAATGTCAACATTTAAACAGACAACTATACTTTAAAAAGAAGTCTGTGTATTTTTTTTTCCTCCGTAGTACAAGAGCTCCTAAAGTTGAAATCTGCTAGTTGGGTTGTGGTATACAAGGTCACTGTTTCTGTTTCCTATCATCGTGCTGTATGAAAACACTGGCACACATAGCCTTCCTGGGTTCTGCTGCATGTTAGACATAACAGACCATGCTTCTGGGAATTGTAACACACCCTCTAAGAGATGAACTGTTTACAAATTATAAATACACAGACACTTAGTTCAAAAACGCAAGAGCAGATTAACTCCCTCCACCTAAACTATTTGTCTTAAATGACAGGGCTTAATTACCAGCTCGCCCTTTCTTTCCCCTTCTCCCCTCCCCAAATACCAGCATGGAGGACTGTAAAAGATAAGAGTGCTCTGTCCCTTTGGCACAAGCTGTTCGGTGGATGAATGCCTTCTCGGATTCGTGCCATCTTGGACACAGAGTTCAGGCTGCGTCCTGTCAGCTCTGGGGTCTGTCAGGCTGTCTGAATAAGGATTGTTTTAAAATTACATCACTGAGACATCCTTCTCCCACCAGTAGAAAGGTATAAACAAGTTGCATGCAGCTCAGAATGTAAGTTGTCTGATCGTTGACCATTTATATTTATTTTATCTTTTTTTTTTTTTTTCTTTTTTGACAATGACTGTAGAGCTTCACAAGCAGACAGTTGCCTTGTTGAACGAGTGTATCATAGCACCCGACTGGAAAGAGTTTTGAAGTCTTCCCATAATCCTAAGTTGTCTGGATAAAAGTTTGCATCTCCTCCAAAACAGACAAAACTTAAATTACTACAATTTCTAGGTCTAGTCATTGATTCAAAAGAAAATCAGAGACAAAACTAAATCAACAACAATTCCTGGTTTTGGTGTTGGTTTTGGTTTTGGGGTTTTTTTTGTTGTTTTTTTTTTTTTTTTCTTGGAGGCTTTCTATCCAGTGGTGAGCCAATGTAGTCGTGCTTGGCTAGTGGGATATAACAGGGAAGGACCAGATGACACTGTGGCTTCAAGCCAAGTTATTTGGCAACTTCCAAGAAATGTTTAGTATCTTGTGTATTGGAGAAAGAGAACTGGGAAAAAGTCCCCAAAGAAGAAAAATCCAGTGTTTCTAATGTAGGAAATTTTCTGTCAAAAATAGGTACCAAAAATATACAAAGTTTTATAAGCACAGTTCAAAAAGACTCCAGCCGAACAAATTAAAGTCAAATTCATCCAGTAGCAAACAGCTGACATTTTCCATTTGAGTTAGATTCAGCATGTGGAAACCTTCCGTATGGATCTTATTTGTACGGGTGGATTACGATGAAAATTGCATTAATTTTCTCCACAGTAAAGGTCAGTAATTGAAACATGAACCAAGAGTCTATTGTGTAAGACTCTATATCCCCATACTTAGGAAAGGTCATTCAAGACAATATCATCTCATTGTTTTCTTCCCTGAAAGTATAAATAATTTCATTAGTTTTCCTCTTTTCTCTTCAATACAACAATTGCAATATAATATTTCAACATCTCCCATTCAGATTGCTGAGGAGAAATGATGGTAAATACTTGAAAACGCCCCATGATACACAGGGTATGTTCAGACTAACAAGGAGAACCCACCTCCACAAAATTATGGGCAAGATCATGTCCTAAAAAAAACCCACAAGGTGTGTGTTTGTGTAGGTGTGGACTCCCTTAAATTGCTGCTCTTTCTTCAGTTGGCTCGTCTCTCACTGCTTCCTAATGAGTCTATGCACAGACCATGAATACGTTAGTGCTGGAGAAGCCTAAGGGACAGATTCTGCTACTTGCCTGAGCTATGCTCAGTGCAAAGCTGGAGGATGGGACACTTCTAAGCACACATAATGATCTGGTCTTGCAACCATCTTGACTAAAGTGTAATACAAGTTTCCAGGTATCACTTAAGATACAATTATAGCTTCTGTAAGTTTTCTCCAAGCTTCTTATTAACCCAGTCACCTTCTGGTTAAGATAGAGTGCAGGGGTTGCTCTGGTTGCGCTTTGCTCTTTGCTTGGGAGCCTCCTGTGTATGAGAAACTGGAAGATAAATGCTCTGTTGTTATTTCTTATTTACACTGCAGCATTGTTTAGGACTGCTCTTACCTGTAGGCATTCCATAAATTGGCACAATCCTTCTCCCAGCATCATGACCCAGCTATTGATAGGAGTGATGGGAGAGAGGAGTTGAAAAGAGGGACTTGCAGAGGACTTTTAGGTATCCTGGGCACAGTGTTATGGCTCTCCTCATGTATAAACCTTAGCAGCCCTATGGCAGTCTAAAATTCTCCCCCTTACTCTGGAGGTAGGTAAGCTAACACCGTAACTTCTCTAAACCTCTGGAAGAATATTAAGTAGCACTAGGCAGGCCACTGGACCAAGCACATAAACCTCAGGGAGTTCTTGTCCCTTAAAAATTCCAACTATTTAAAATGTTGTTAAAATTTCTTTTGAATTGGGCGGATGTATGAATAGGTCTATCTTTCTCCTGTACCCCAAATTGCTAAAGATCATTACCTAGATTATAGATGATGATGCAGTAGTTTAAGTCTAATCACCATGTGATTGTTCTTAGGTCTCGTGTATTTCCAGGAGAAAGCACT